TATTAATTCAATTTATAATTTGTAATTTACGAGAGTAATTATATACAGAGGACACAGCAATAATATCCTCCAGTTTGAAAACCTTTTCATGATTTCTTTCAATCTCTATATACACCAATTATTAATATTGAATTCGACATTTTAATTGCATTACATCGTAATTCGCAATTTAAATAATTGTATTAGTTATTATTCTTTAATAGTGTTCCTATCGAATTACGACTTACAGTGTAACGTGTTCGAATTACGGTGGAAACGGAATTAAAGTACAATAGGAAAGCAGTCGGAAGCACGAAGACATATTGAAGCTGCACTCCTTAAAAAATTCTATTACGAAACGTAACTTCGGCGGGCTCCGAAAATTCTACCTTTCGGCGGACGTTACTTTAATCTACGAGAATATGAGAACTGTATAAGAGGAGCGGTAGAACACCTGCAGCTCTTTATTCAAAAGCAGCAGGCCAGTAGATTGCGCCATTCATACGCGGACAGGATGATTCAGCCTATTGTCCCCGGGGCCTTTGCATTTCTTCTTCGATTTTGTAGACCATTATGCTCGAGCACGGCGAGTTAATAATTCTGTAGAAATTATTATACAGATGAGAGCGCCTCTTGTAACAGAACCGCCGCGATACTTCACGATTGACAATGAGACTCTACCGACAACGCTCAATTACAGTCAGGTATAAATACAGGGTGTCCCAAAAATGTCTCGCAATCCGGAAATGGCGGGTTCCTCGGATTATTTGAAGAAGTTTCTTCCTTTAGAAAAATTTTCTCCGAGGCACCGTTAACGAGTTATTAGCGAAAAACAGTGACCAATAAGAATCGAGAACGGCTGACGCGAGGCGGCCCAGCCAATCAGCGCACGAAGCCCAGTTCCGCTCATTGGCTCGGTCGCCTCGCGCCAGCTGAGCTCGCCTCTCATTGGTCACTGTTTTTTTGTTAATAACTCGTTAATGGTGCCTCGGAGAAAATTTTTGTAAAGAAGAAAGTTGTTTCAAACGGCCTGAGGAACCCGCCACTTTCGGATTGCGAGACATTTTTGGGACACCCCACATATGTGGACACCTTTTTAAACGGTATAACTTTTCTAAAACTCGACTAAATGACATGAAATAGTTTACTAGACAGCCATTAAAATGCTTTTTTCAATTCTGCCAGCACTTGGAATGGCAAAAAGTACAATTGTTTCTAACTCTTAACCATGTCAACCGATTTCAATGAGATTTTTAACAGCTATACGAGCTATCAAGATCTGCGAAACAAATTTTTTAAATTTTTGTTAGATAAAAATGTTAAGAAACGTGAATTTCTTTTTATTTATTTTGTCGCCCCAAATAATAGCAAAATTTAAAAAAAAAGGAAAAGCAATTTAATCATTGTCTAGTAAACCAGTCCCTGTATCGTCTAAAACAAATTAAGGTCACGTGGTCCAGTTCGAAAAAAGCCGTACCGTTTCAAAGGTCATCCACGTATATTCGTCCCCGACTGTGCATGAATTTTAATAAAAGTCCTCGTCTCGATGAATAAACACACCGACGGCCACGCGTCGAAATAAATGGCATTCGGTCGCAGCAATTGATCGAAGAACAATGACCGTTACGAAACACTGAAATCGCGGTTTCTTTGAAAATATAGAAAGCGGATCCCCGCCTTGCCGGAAGCAATACGTTCCGCGCTCCTATCGGATTCATCTCTGGTATATAACGCACGGCCTGAACCGAATATCCGGTCAAATAACCAATGAGTGCCGCGCAACGATGGTGAAACCACGCAGCTTCGCTGTTCTAACGTTGTTCGTGTCTTTCCGTGTCGATATCGTGGAACCGTTGGTGCACGAGGGTTTCTCGAGGCTTCTGGGAACTCTGACCCCCGTTAAACAGTATTGCCCTAATTCTTGTCGCGATCGTCATCTCCTCATTCCATTGATAACGCCAATAATTTTAATTTATTGTATTTTATTTGACTTCAATTTATTTTATTTTGTTTGAATTTAATTTATTATATTTTATATGAGTTCAATTTATTGCATTTTATTTGATTTTAATTTGTTGTATTTTGTTTGAATTTAATTTATCGTATTTTATTTGACTTTAATTTATTGTATTTTATTTGACTTTAATTTATTGTATTTTATTTGAATTTAATTTATTGTATTTTATCCGAGTTCAATTTATTGTATTTTACTTGAATTTAATTTATTGTATTTTATTTGAGTTTAATTTATTGAATTTTATTTGACAATAATTTATTGTATTTATTTTGGCTTTAATATAATCTATTTTATTTGATTTTAATTTATTGCACTTTATTTGAGTTCAATTTATTATATTTTATTCTGTCCTATTTCACCGCATTTTATTTGATTTTATTTAAAGTGCTTGTGAAATGTGCAACGCGCGCGTGCATCCTATGATTGCAGCGTGCGGATCCCAGAGCTGTTGAACCAGCTGTGCAACGAGTCGCAAGGCTCGGATGCAATTCGTCAGGACGCCTGCTACGGCTGCTTCTTCAGGGCCACCAACCAACCCCTTAGCTTCCCCACGCTGGTGGCTATGTNGAACGGCTGACGCGAGGCGGCCCAGCCAATCAGCGCACGAAGCCCAGTTCCGCTCATTGGCTCGGTCGCCTCGCGCCAGCTGAGCTCGCCTCTCATTGGTCACTGTTTTTTTGTTAATAACTCGTTAATGGTGCCTCGGAGAAAATTTTTGTAAAGAAGAAAGTTGTTTCAAACGGCCTGAGGAACCCGCCACTTTCGGATTGCGAGACATTTTTGGGACACCCCACATATGTGGACACCTTTTTAAACGGTATAACTTTTCTAAAACTCGACTAAATGACATGAAATAGTTTACTAGACAGCCATTAAAATGCTTTTTTCAATTCTGCCAGCACTTGGAATGGCAAAAAGTACAATTGTTTCTAACTCTTAACCATGTCAACCGATTTCAATGAGATTTTTAACAGCTATACGAGCTATCAAGATCTGCGAAACAAATTTTTTAAATTTTTGTTAGATAAAAATGTTAAGAAACGTGAATTTCTTTTTATTTATTTTGTCGCCCCAAATAATAGCAAAATTTAAAAAAAAAGGAAAAGCAATTTAATCATTGTCTAGTAAACCAGTCCCTGTATCGTCTAAAACAAATTAAGGTCACGTGGTCCAGTTCGAAAAAAGCCGTACCGTTTCAAAGGTCATCCACGTATATTCGTCCCCGACTGTGCATGAATTTTAATAAAAGTCCTCGTCTCGATGAATAAACACACCGACGGCCACGCGTCGAAATAAATGGCATTCGGTCGCAGCAATTGATCGAAGAACAATGACCGTTACGAAACACTGAAATCGCGGTTTCTTTGAAAATATAGAAAGCGGATCCCCGCCTTGCCGGAAGCAATACGTTCCGCGCTCCTATCGGATTCATCTCTGGTATATAACGCACGGCCTGAACCGAATATCCGGTCAAATAACCAATGAGTGCCGCGCAACGATGGTGAAACCACGCAGCTTCGCTGTTCTAACGTTGTTCGTGTCTTTCCGTGTCGATATCGTGGAACCGTTGGTGCACGAGGGTTTCTCGAGGCTTCTGGGAACTCTGACCCCCGTTAAACAGTATTGCCCTAATTCTTGTCGCGATCGTCATCTCCTCATTCCATTGATAACGCCAATAATTTTAATTTATTGTATTTTATTTGACTTCAATTTATTTTATTTTGTTTGAATTTAATTTATTATATTTTATATGAGTTCAATTTATTGCATTTTATTTGATTTTAATTTGTTGTATTTTGTTTGAATTTAATTTATCGTATTTTATTTGACTTTAATTTATTGTATTTTATTTGACTTCAATTTATCATATTTTACTTGACTTTAATTTATTGTATTTTATTTGACTTTAATTTATTGTATTTTATTTGAATTTAATTTATTGTATTTTATCCGAGTTCAATTTATTGTATTTTACTTGAATTTAATTTATTGTATTTTATTTGAGTTTAATTTATTGAATTTTATTTGACAATAATTTATTGTATTTATTTTGGCTTTAATATAATCTATTTTATTTGATTTTAATTTATTGCACTTTATTTGAGTTCAATTTATTATATTTTATTCTGTCCTATTTCACCGCATTTTATTTGATTTTATTTAAAGTGCTTGTGAAATGTGCAACGCGCGCGTGCATCCTATGATTGCAGCGTGCGGATCCCAGAGCTGTTGAACCAGCTGTGCAACGAGTCGCAAGGCTCGGATGCAATTCGTCAGGACGCCTGCTACGGCTGCTTCTTCAGGGCCACCAACCAACCCCTTAGCTTCCCCACGCTGGTGGCTATGTCAAGTTGCGCGGACCTGTACCTGAACAACACCGATTACTCGCACTGCCAACAGTACCTGAACGTAAGCTCGCGTGAACTCGCATTTTTGTTACAATCGTATTATTTCGTTGCGATCGTGTTTTCGATCGATCATCAACGAGGATTCTGACGACAGAACGCCACCAGCACGCTGAACACCAAAGCCAACCCCATGACGATCTACTGCACCTTCCTCGAGTGCATTCGCCAGGTGAACAAGGACAATTTGGTAAGGTGTCTCTCGTAGCTCCACGATTTTCTGCACGGCGAGGCGAGGACGTTGTGCGGTACCTATCGTAAGAGGTTCCTGAGGTGACTTGAAGTAACTTTTTCCTTTGCGCAAATGCGATCCGCCGTTTCGTTTGCGAGTTATTAACGAAAAACAGTTATCACCAATGGAAGATCGCGTACGGCTGACGCTCCGCTCTCGCGACCACTGTCGCTGCGTCAGACGGCCGGCGCGACGCGCCATTGGCCGCTAGGGCGGAGCGCCGGCCGCACTCGCGCTCCGATTGGTCACTGTTTTTCGTTAATAACTCGTAAACGAAGCCTCGTAGAACATTTTTGCTAAGGAAAAAGTTGCTTCAAATCACCTCAGGAATCGTTTCCCGCTTGTACAATAATTTCGGGACATCCTGTATATCGGTACTCCTCGTTTCATCTTGCCAATTATTTTCGAATTTACGTCAGACGTCGGCAGCTTCGTTGCGCGATGTAAATAATGTACATAAGAACACAAAGAAAGAAAGAGAAAGAAAGAGAGAAAGAGAGAAAGAGAGAGAGGGAGAAAAAAGGTGGCTGTAAATATTGAACAGGACGCGCGTGTGAAGCCGAGAACGCCGCCAAGTCGGAGGACCGGGTCGAGGAAAACTTCTTTCATATACCGGAAACTGTATAAACAAATAGCGCGAAATGTTTGCGTGATATGGGAACGGGACAACGAGGCGAACACCGTCAGGCCTGGAGCGGAACCTATTGATCCAAGACGGCAATCGATAACGCCGAAAACTTCGTAAAACTTCCGATATATACTGTACATACACACACACGAGCACCGACTCCTGTAATCATTCTGTACATAGCGTACGATATACTTGAACGGAACTGATGCATGAGTCCACGGGCACGGTAAGTGCTTTACCCTAATTGGCAAATAATTTATAGGGGTGAACCGCCGCGAATGGGACACTTTTGTTTACGACGAGATAACGAAATGATCGGAGCAACTTATCTAATTCTTGGACGAAACATACGAAAGATCCAATCTTGCGAGTGAAACGTTAACTTAATTTGTCATTTGTAATTTATGAGAGTGACTGTACACGGAGGACGCGGCGATAATATCCTTCTCTGTCTGAAAACCTTCGCGAGATGTTCTTTCAATCTCTCAACACTAATTTTATTAATTTTCAATTCGTCATTTTATTAATTTGTCATTGTTTAATTCGATTGCATCGTAATTCGCAATTAAAGTAATCGAATCACTTAGTATACTGTATAATTGTATTCTATATAATTTTCTGCGAATCTTTTACTATAACAATGCACAATGTCAACGAGTTTCGCCTACGTTCACTTGTTTCATTTTTAATTGTTTCAAAAAGTGCATTTTGTCGCATTCGTCGATTCGGTTGCATCGAATGGGACAGGCATATTCGTGAACGGGACGGTGTAACAGAATAATTTGTGTCCCATTCATGGTAGTTCTCCCCTACGTAGTTGTTGCATGCTTCGTGAACCATCGGTTCTAAGCTTTGTTGTTGTCGTCGTAGTTCGAAGCTTTCTGGGACACGATTTACCCATACTTTCCGCTTCAAAAGGTCTCCGAATATTAACGCGAATTCAGAACATTTCTATATGTACGGTGGGAACAGCGATGCCGGGCTGCCGTCTAAACCGTGACGTCATCGACGTTCGGGTTACTTCGAGCTGGCTCGGCTTCTCGGATCTACTCGAGCGCCTCTGACGGTAGAGCCGCGGCGCTGCGTCACCGATGACGCGCGTCTGCTCCGGCCAAGCGAAACGCAGTGGCCGCGGCGCTGTCGCTAGCCGGCGCTAGTAGTCGGTCTTCCCCCACTTACCGCTACTCACTGCGTCACGAGTCCGAACGTCGGTGACGTCACGGCTTAGCCGGTAGCCTGGCAGCGCGGAACGGGAAGCAATGGACCTCGATTAACGCGGTAAGCGCGGAGCCGATTTTGCTGGGTTTTCCGTTCAGGCGGCAGGGCGGTATTATTTTTTAACCTTGATATTGCCGACCCCATGCGCTGATGCTGTCCAAACGGAACGTTCGCCGCGCTTAACGCGTTAACCGAACGCAAGACCCTCCATTATATGAACTAAAATAAAAATTGAGGATACAAGCGACCTCTGCTATGCGAACCGCTCGATTATCTAAACTGCCTTGCCACTCGAACGGTTCACACGAACGAGGTCGTACGGTATTATTTATTAGTCCCAATCGATCAAACCCATAAAATTACAAAGTTACAAAATTGCAAATTCAAGAAAATGCAAAACGATAACAATTCTCCGTGGTTCTCCCTCAGGTGAGGGAGTGTGTCGACGAGGCGATCCGTATATTCCCGAACTTCACGAACACGGACGTCAAGCTGGCCCAATTGTTCGTGAACACGACCGCGTGCGTGCTCGCGAAAACCCGCTGCGCCCTCCTGAACCCGATCACCGGCGAATTTCAAGACGACGACCTCGCTAACAAGCTCCACATACCGTCGGTGAACGCGGTCCTGGTCAACACCGATTACGACATCAACATCGTCCAGCTACCGTTTCAATACGGCTCGGTCGACGTCTGCGCGAAATACAGGAATTTCGAACAGGCTAATTGGCCGACCGTCACCTGCTGAAGAAGCGTCGAGGACGGATTTTATAATTAATTCGCGCTAATTCGGGATCAGATTGCCCAGAACGATGCGCAAAATTTTGGGAAGAGGAGATACGATTATTCGAGCCGTCGAGTTTTCATAGTCGTTTTGACATTCGGTAATTATAAAATAAAATAGATATATAATAATATAATAAATAATGTAATAAAATGATATGATAAAATAATATAAATATAAATATATAATTATAATATAATATTAATTTATATATATAAATATATATAAATATATATACGTATAAATATACAGAGTGTAATCTGCAAATGGGAGGTTCCTGAGGTCATTTGAAGCAACTTTTTCCTTTGCGAAAATTTTCTCCGAGGCTTCGTCTACGAGTTATTAACGAAAAACACTGACCAATAAGAGGCGAGCTCGGCTGGCGCGCGGTGGCCCAGCCAACGAGCGCACGGAGCCCAGTTCCATTCATTGGCTCGGCCGTCTCGCGCCAAATGATCTGACCTCTGATTGGTCACTGTTTTTCGTTAATAACTCGTAAACGAAACCGCGGATTGCATTTTCGCTAAGGAAAAAGTTGCTTCAAATGACATCAGGAATCCCATACTTTCGGATTGCGAGACATTTTTGGGTCACCCTGTATATAAATATATATAAATATATATAAATATAAATATATAAATATATATAAATATAAATATATAAATATAAATATATAAATATATATAAATATAAATATATATATAAATATATATAAATATAAATATATATATAAATATATATAAATACAAATAATAAAATAATCGTATCTCCTCTTCCCGAATTGTTCATTTTTGTGCGCAATCAGAATTAGAATGATTTCTAGCGAATTAGAGTGTTTTCAATTGGAATAAGAAAAAGCCGCGGCGAAAGTTCGCGGCGTTGCTGCGCGCGTGCACAATTCGTCGCGTGTGCGTTCCGCGTCGAGTTGTAAATCGCGAAAAGAAGCCCGAAGAAGACATCGTCGCAGCGTTTTCTCACGCGCGCGGCACTTCAAATACCGGCAGAAGTCTCGCGCGAGCTTTTTTCCCCTCCGCGAGATGTTTCGCGTTTTCATATCGCCCGCGTTCCGCGACCCCCGCCGCACGGTCTCCATCCCCGCGCGAAATAGGAGGGTAAATAAAAATTCCGCGACAAGCCCGGCGAGCGAATCCGGCCGAGTTTGTTGTTTGCGAATGGTGCGCGTCGACTGGCCGAAGTCGTCGCTGCCGAATTATTTGTTTACGGGGATTGGCAAGATTTCGCACGAATAAAACACTCGGATTAAAAACGGCGTTTCTACGGGGCTCGCTCGAACAACACTCTACAGGGTGTCCCGTTTGAAACGTCGCGATATCTCCTCCGATAGCGACGTCGCGAAAAAATATCCTGTACAGAATTTGATCGGAATCGAAAGACGAAAACGATGCAAAAAGTAATTTTTTTCAAGGTCATTTTATGGGGTTTACCGTTTACGGATTTTATGGAGTTTTTAGAGTCGTCGACGTTGGTTTGCACGTAAGGGTATATCGTTGTTTAATTTTATTTTTATTGTTGTTTAAATTGAAATTAAATTTAAATAGAAAATTAGAATTAAATAAGATTAGCTTGAAATTAGTGAAAGCGGATAAAATGGAGTCGCGTTTGGAACTCTGTGGAGTGCATGGGATATTCTAGCTTTGCTTAAAAGGTAAAAGGCGCTGCGACGTTGCAAATATTGAAAAATATCGTAAATAGTGGCAAATTGATAGATAGGACGTTTTAATGAAGAACGTTTTAATTAATAATTGCGAACATTTATTGAAAGTATAATATTTAGTTTTGACACACCGACCATACCACCGGTATGGATAATTCTTCGGTAATTACGAAGGAAATTGACAGAAACTAATTTCTTCCTAAAGAATGTCCATTGTGCTCCAGAAATATGTACAAACAATACGTTTAACTTAACAACAGCATAATAAATTGAATGCGATATATTTAAAATGCATTATGAATTAAATGCGATCGCAATTACTTTATTCATTAACGAAAATATCGGCCAAAATATTTTTGTGTGTCGCTGTAATGCTCGCTTTATCCGCCGCATCTCCCGTCTATCAAAATGTTAATTTCCATTGGTTGACGTTCCAGCCACCGGAAGTCGATAAACATCCGACGTTGTTAACGCAAAACGTGTTCGCAGGTGTAACAACAGCGGAACAGAAACACAGGGAGGTAAAAAGAAAAGAAACGCGTCTCCGATCGCGAAAGTAATTTAGGGTTACAGGCCTGGGAGGGAGGGGGGGGGGTATAATTATTATAGTTCCCCGAAGACTATCCGGAACTAAATTTCAATTCCAAACAGCTACTCGATCTATTTCGACACGACCCCGAAACGCTCCTTCCTTCGTCAGTCGTGCCTAACACCCGAGAAGTTCATTTACGGCGAACATTCGGGGAAGTTCATTCACCCCTACAGTATTTGCTCGCCTCTAGTGCGAATGGAGCACCGATTCGCAACTCTAGATTGCAACAATCTTTCTTCGGGAGTTCCGTGCAAGTTTACCACCGCGCCTCGCGCCGCATCGACGCGACTCCGTGGAATTAATTTGCAACAATGCCGGCTCGCCGAGGGTGAAAAAGCGAGGCTAACCCAATCCGCGACAACGAGCTCGTCATCTTCCATCGTTCATACGATTCTACGATAATTACACGAGTAGAGTTAAATTATACTCCCTTCTTTTTCTTATTTATAGTCATTCTAGAACTCCGGTTAATTACGGACACGAATAAACAGCTGTTCTCTCCGCGACAGAAATATTTGCGCAAAGATGCAATTATTTTCTCCGGCACGGAAATTCTACATTTTTTAACGGGGCTTATATTAATCACAGAATGATATTGAATTGATTTTTAATTGATTGAAAATGGGAGCTTTTTAAGATTCGTATCACTTACCCCTATAATAATAAATCGATTTTTAATTGACTAAAAGTGAAAGTCTGCGCAGAAAAGCTCAGCCTAGAATTTCAATTATTAACTCGACCACAGAAATTCTACTTTTTTAATATGTCTTATATTGTTCATAGAATAGTAGTGAATTGATCTTTAATTGATTAAAACTAGGAGCTTTTCAAGACTCGTATCACTTATCCCTATAATAATAAATCGATTTTTAATTGACTAAAAGTGAAAGTCTGCGCAGAAAAGCTCAGCCTAGAATTTCAATTATTTTTTCGATCACAGAAGTTCTACTTTTTTAATATGTCTTATATCTGTCTCTTATACACATCTAGATGTGTATAAGAGACAGGTATCACTTACCCCTATAATAATAAATCGATTTTTAATTGACTAAAAGTGAAAGAGATGTGTATAAGAGACAGGTATCACTTACCCCTATAATAATAAATCGATTTTTAATTGACTAAAAGTGAAAGAGATGTGTATAAGAGACAGGTATCACTTACCCCTATAATAATAAATCGATTTTTAATTGACTAAAAGTGAAAGAGATGTGTATAAGAGACAGGTATCACTTACCCCTATAATAATAAATCGATTTTTAATTGACTAAAAGTGAAAGAGATGTGTATAAGAGACAGGTATCACTTACCCCTATAATAATAAATCGATTTTTAATTGACTAAAAGTGAAAGAGATGTGTATAAGAGACAGGTATCACTTACCCCTATAATAATAAATCGATTTTTAATTGACTAAAAGTGAAAGTCTGCGCAGAAAAGCTCAGCCTAGAATTTCAATTATTAACTCGACCACAGAAATTCTACTTTTTTAATATGTCTTATATTGTTCATAGAATAGTAGTGAATTGATCTTTAATTGATTAAAACTAGGAGCTTTTCAAGACTCGTATCACTTACCCCTATAATAATAAATCGATTTTTAATTGACTAAAAGTGAAAGTCTGCGCAGAAAAGCTCAGCCTAGAATTTCAATTATTAACTCGACCACAGAAATTCTACTTTTTTAATATGTCTTATATTGTTCATAGAATAGTAGTGAATTGATCTTTAATTGATTAAAACTAGGAGCTTTTCAAGACTCGTATCACTTACCCCTATAATAATAAATCGATTTTTAATTGACTAAAAGTGAAAGTCTGCGCAGAAAAGCTCAGCCTAGAATTTCAATTATTAACTCGACCACAGAAATTCTACTTTTTTAATATGTCTTATATTGTTCATAGAATAGTAGTGAATTGATCTTTAATTGATTAAAACTAGGAGCTTTTCAAGACTCGTATCACTTACCCCTATAATAATAAATCGATTTTTAATTGACTAAAAGTGATAGTCTGCGCAAAAAAGCTCAGCCTAGAATTTCAATTATTTTCTCGACCATTGAAATTCTTCTTCTTTAATCAGTTTTATATTGTTCATAAAATAACAGTGAATTGATCTTTAATTGATTGAAAATGGGAGCATTTTAAGACTCGTATCATTCAGTCCTACAATAATAAATCGATTTTTAATTGACTAAAAGTGATAGTCTGCGCAGAAAGGCTCAGCCTAGAATTTCAATTATTTTCTCCACCACAGAAATTCTACTTCTTCAATAAGTCTTACATTCTGCACAGAATACAATAAATTCTCCCTAATTGTTCTTCAGCTCGTAAACAGAAACATCCAATTAGCGAATTGAACCGTATTTGATTAAACATTAGAGTTGTTTTCATCAAGACCTTTATCATTCGCCAAATAACAATGAATTTATGTTAACAAAAAAAGTTCTCCTCGACGTTTGAAGTTAACGTTTAATCGATGTTTTCAAACGATTTACTAAAAGACCCGAGACACATGATACATTTCGAACGAAACAAACCTGCATTATTACCTCGAACAATAGCCAATCGATTCGTAATTTATTCTAAATCGTAATTCGCCGCAATCTGGTGCTCCGATAAAAGGCAATGATCACCGGCGTCCCTTTGGGACCGGCTTATTTTATTCCGTTTCATTCGACGGCAGTCGAACGGTTCGCGTCGCGCTTCCGTAGAACGTTCGATTATTAAAATTATCTAACGATTCGATTAATTGTTCTCGGCTGAAAATGTTCGCGAACGGGAACGGCGCGT